TCATCATGGTTATAAAAGTATAGAGGATTGCCTGTTGAAGACTTTCTAATAAGTACATGAAATAATTCCTTATTTTTAATTCCAAGTATGTCCTAATTCATAAATCACTGGAACAGGCTAGCCAGATTTTTGTTCCTGTTCTCTTGACTTAAAAAAATCAAGGTACAGAAAGGTAAAGTTTAAACTTTTTGAAAAACACTTTAGGGACTTAAATCCAAATCTTATTTTCAAACATGATTTAAGCACTTCAGTTTGCTCTTTCAAGAAGCACACAGAAATGGCTTTTGCAGGATGTTAAGTGAAAGATGTCCCCTCAGGTGCCAGTTGAGAGATGCAAATCTGGAGGAGAAATGAGTATCTCATGACATTCTCAGGCATGTGCTTGTCGCTTCTGCCATATGCAGGTAAATGTTGAACAAAGTATAGTTAGTAGACAGTCCTTAACCTGTTGTAATAATCCTCTCTAAAGTCACTAAAAAGGAAGAGAATGAAGAAATCGTCCTAAATGTCTGTAGCAATGTAAGAATATATTTTTTAAATGTGCATTCATTTTAGCTATATGTAGTCAGTCTAGTGCTCTTACTCAGCTTAAAGGTGCCATGATCTATGACTGTAGGTGAGGACTGTAGGTAAGACCAAAAACGTCTCAGATTTGGCATAGTGAGACTGGTGGGAGATCTCACTTTCTGACCATGTAAACCCAGACAAAAAAGACCATGGCCTGGAAAGGAGCAGAGCTTTTTTTTTTTTTCTTTGCTCAGAGCCTGCTGTTACTGAATACTTTTGGGGAGACAAAATTTCCCTCTGTTTTGGGGTAGGAGGAATCAGGGGCTTTTATTTGGTTTTTTATTTTTTCCCTATGATGCAAAGAGATGTAGTGTCTTTTGCTGTTCATTACCAAAAAAGAAAATATGACCATATTAAGGATATAATTGCGATGCATTTGAGAGTTCTGGTGAAGATTAATTTTCGCAAGAATTTAAAGTTCAGGTGGTTGTACCGCGTGAATGGATGCTTCCTGTGTTTCAGTGTAAGGGTATACACTGAAGTTAATTATCATGACTATGTTAGAATTTTTTTTAGAATTGTCATTAGTTAGCCTTCCTTTACTCCCCAAGTCTAGAACATGTTTATAGAAACATGAGGAAGGCTAAGGCTGCTGTCTGTCTCCTTGTTTCTGCTATAGCATAATGAGCAACAAATCATTGTGAACCAGGGAACAACCACTTGCCCCAAAGAAATTTTAAGGAAAATTATGTATTTTGGAACAAATATGGTTTATTTCATTGCATCTGAATTGTGTCTACATTCATGGGAACTAAATTGATAGCCTTGAATGAAACTGTGCAAACAGCTGCCCCAAAAGAGAAAATACAGTGGTATTCTTCGTCTGTGGAAAGAAAAAGCTTTTAGCTGACTAAAAGATGATTTTCATCGTTACGAGGGCTATGTTTTCCATCCTGACAAAGGGATTAATATCAGAGTTGGCAAATGACTGTATCTTAACAATGGTATCAATACAAGGCAACCTCTGTTTTATATAAAATAGTCTGAAGTTTTCATTTTCAAATTGATTTTCCATAAACTCAGTTTCATAATTCAGAACAAAGTCTCTAATTTAGGCAATTGAAAGTTGGTAAGCATTATCCAAATCATGACTGAAATCTTTAAATTTTCCAATGTTTGGAGGTACTTTTGTGCACAATGCTTTCTTCCAAATGGGAACTCAGAAGTACCTCTGTTTTTACATTTTAGGATCCTGAATATATAATGATCCAAAAGCAACATGTAATGTTTCTTTTAATGTTAAGTTATGCCACAGAGTTACTTTTGGCTGACTGACTGATACTGTGCTTTGAGAGCTGACTCCTCAAGGAAAGACTTGCTTGTCTGTAGGCGCTGGTGGCAGGGATTTAATGTTGCTTGGCTGTGGAACTTTGCTAGGCTGCATCACTTTTAGTGTTTCTGGGGCTGAGGGACAGAGATGCTTCACTTTTGTGAAAAGTAAATATACATAAATTCCTAGAAGACAGCTATATCTAAAACTAGAAATCCCTATAGAAATCAGTTGGTATCTCAGAGAGTTCTCGGTAAGCTGGTTTTCTCTTGCATGGTCCCCTGCTAGGTTATGTATGAGAAAAGTGACTGCATTAGGGGTCAGTACTTCTCTACCACTGCCTTTGGGTGCCTCCAAGTGTGCAGTAGCTTTCAAGCTGTGAGAAGCATGGGCTTCTTACTGTGGTTTAGCCTTGTGTAAGTACGGCTTGAAACCGAAGATGAAAATCAGATGTAGTAGTGGTTTCCTCCAAGGAGACCTACTTTGCTTAGCTGGCAAAAGATGCCTAGAATATGCAGTACTGGAGGTAAGCAGATTCCTCTGAGCAGAAACTGAGCAGACTTACAATACCATCAAAACCCAGTGGTTTCTGTTAAATAAATGAAGGTTTGGATTAGGAGGCAGGGGTTTGAGACCACAGGTGCTATTACAAATTTTCCAAATTAATACTTTTGGGGATATAAGTATTATTATCAAGTATTCAGATGCAGTATAGAGTGATTTAGTATATCAAGTAGTGGTTTTCCCATGTTGTGGGGACTGGCGCAGGATCTTAAGCAAAGTCAGTCAAGTGTTCCCTTGTAGTGCAGTCCTTGTTACAAAAATGCCAAATAAATAGGCATGATTTGCTTGACGATCAAGAAGCACAGAAGTCAAGCTAACATTGACTGCACTATATCCTTTCACTACACTTTCGAAGCCAGTGGTGTGAAAAAGGATTTTATTATACAGATGTTTCCACTGTGGCTTGATAAGAGGGGAAATGTTGCATTTATTTATAATGCTGTCAAGTTCAGATCTCCTAATTTTGGTAGCTTATTCGTAGATGAATAGCTCACTGAAATCAGACATGCAGGTTACAGATCCAAGAAAACTTAGCTTCCATTTTATAGCCTTACAGCGTTAAAACTAAATGGAGTAAGAGAAATATGGGGAGCTCTCTGTGTATTTTGCATAGTACAACTATGTATTGTAGTTCTTTTAGACATCTCTATATTTGATCAGTCTGCCTAACTATTTTAGGGTAGGATCATACAAATTATTTTATGTTAGTGAAAATGAAAATTAAAAAATTAAACCCATAGGTTTACCAACATGCATGAGTTAAAGTCTGTGCAGGCTAATCCTTTAATGATTGCTTCAAAGCAGTAAAAAGAATTTATTTTGGATCGTATTTTAACTCAGAAATATATTTTTATGTAGCAATCATCTCTTTATTTTTATCAATCAGTCTGCAAGAATGTGTCTGTAAAAGCAAACTGATAACTGTATATTATAGCCTCTTCGCTATGGAGGACTATTTACCCTCCAGCTTCTGATTTCTTACTGCTGCTTTTGCGGCTTCTGCTTCTACTTTGCTGCTTACTTCTGCATCTGTGCTTTTTTGCTGCCTCATCTCACAGTGCTCTCTACAGGATCACCCATAGACATTTTATAGCCATATGTTGAATCCATTAGTAGATGACATTGTGAAAGTATGATGCAGAACATTTTACCACCTTTGCTGGCTTTAATTGTACCCTCAAGATAAAGCACTGATTCCCTGCAGTTGTTTATTTAGACTTGTAAATAAGTAAGCTCTATATGTCCTTGTTTCTTACCACCTTTTTATTCTTTACTCTCTTTCTGTATGCTGGATAATTATGTATGTTTACTTTTTCTTCCTACTTGTGCTTTTAGGATTTAGCTGAAATTGAAATTGCTGTTAATGAATTGATTTATTGGACTTTGGGACTTTCATTTTGTTGAATCAATGACTCTTCTTAACAAGGAAGAGAACTGTGCATCTTCCCATAGAATCTTTCCATACAATACACTACATTAAGTTTTTCTCTAAAATTACAAATGTTAACTATGTTTATGACTGTTGTTTTGTATAACCACAATTCTTTTGAAACAGCATTTATTTAGCTTTTATAGATTGACAGAAGGTTAAGGTGAAGCAAGTAATGTAAATTGTATAATAGCTGTAATTATGTGAATGCAATAATTTTGGTGTTGTGGTTACGTGATGTGAAGTTATGCATGGGAGGCAGAGAGGTTTCTAGAGCCAGTTTTAGCTCATAGATTTTTATATATTGTTTTAGTTTCTCAGTCTTTAAGAGGCTAGTTGAAACTTGCCGTAATGCAACTGTATACAGCTCACTTTAGAGATTTTTCTTTTGCAGTACTATAAGAATTCCTAAAGTCAAGTTATAATATGTAGAAGAATACATTGGTTTACTGATATTTGCATACCAGATTGTGCCATTTTGGGATTTGCACTATGCAAAAATGAGTGCAATGGAAATCAAAGAAAGATGAAAGGCACTACTATACAGGAAACTATCATATTTAAACTGACATATGTGACTGACTTTAAGATCACATTTAGATGTAGTAAAATACATCTCTCTTGAAATGATAGGAGTAGCTTTTAAAGTAAAGATTAATGAATTTATCTGGTTCAGTTAAAGGTTGTAATTTGCCAATCAGTCGTAGCATGAGCAGTGCCTCCGGAGTTATCAGCTGCAGAAACGAGGTTTATAAAGAGCTGCCACACTTAAAAGTTTACATAAAGACATCTTTCATACTGCCTTTTGTTTCCTTTTGGTAGTAGCTGCCTCTGTTTGTTTCCAAGTGGCTTTCTCAGATACCAATTATTATGTTTCATTGCCAAATCTGTTGTACCTGACAAGATGAGATTGTGGACATATGTGGAATATCTACTCTGATATTGTTCTAAATTGTAATGCATGGTGTGAATAATCCCATAAATGAATATCACTTCTGTTTTCACTCAAAATACCAGCTTGTAGCAAACCGAATTGTATTGTGCTTTTTATTCTGCATCTGGAAGAAATACACAAAGTAAGCACCCTGAGAATTTTTACATATTGTTATGTAGTACGAGATACCCTTTGATTAATTTACATATTTGTTTATTTATTCCATATTACTGTAGGCAGAGAATTCAGCACTGGCTCTGGAAAATGAAAATCAGAGAGAACAGTATGAAAGATGTCTTGATGAGGTAAGGTAGATAAAAAGATTGTTCTTACCTGGTACTATAATGAAATGAATAGAAATGAATCTCGCCCTCTCTTACAAGGTTGACATTGTTCTGCAATTGTCTACTATTACCTCATTCTAATTAATTCCAATAACATGTGTTTGGCAGTTGTAGATACTGTTGTCCATGACCTCTACTGTAAATCATGGTTTGACCACACCTCCTCACTGGAAAGGTGAATCCCTGTGACCAATATTTGGAACTGATTTGCTTTTATTAGGAGGATAAACTGTTAATTTGACTACTACGTGTTGTGTACTCCTTTCCTGTAGAGTCGAAGACAAGTGGGAGTGGCTGCTTCCATTAAAATTCCCCCAGCTTTCCTATGTAATGTATTTTGTAACCAGGGAATTAAAGTCTCTCAGCTGCCCATTAGGGTTACATACAGAGCTTTCTATGTTGGGTTTGTTTGTGTTTTTTTCTAGCCATTGGCTTATGTCTCCTACACATCTCAGCTTTTCATCAGACCTTCCAGTTACAGCTACAATATAATTCACCCATTGGTTACTGACCATGCACTCCAGCAATGCTTGCAATTCCAGAAACATCTAGTATCTCTTATTCCATGCAGCTTTCTCCATATATATATTGATGTTTACTTGTTTCTCCTGTTTTTCCTGAAAAAAGGCTCTTCAGCATACGCAAGATCTTAAGATAGTTTTAAGACTTTCAGTAGTTTAAAGAGTTGCTTAGTAGAAATCATTTACCCATTCTACACTAAGAATGCATAGTAGCATAAGGAGTTAGCTAGCATGCAAAAAAACCCAAAAGCAACCACAAACAAAAAACTACACCAATTTCTCACCTGTACATTTGAGAAAAGAGTGCATGAGCATGAATACCACACATAGCAGATGACAATTCATGTCTGCATACCAGCTTTCTAAATTTTTAATTATCATTTGATGAAGTGCTACTGGCATGATGAGCAATACAGCCCTGGTATAAGAAGCCTTCAGTTTAGTGCAGGTTTTCATCAGCAAATCTACACTTTTGCCACTATAACATATTTTTATGAGGGAGCTGGAGTAAAAGACTTGCAGACGTACTTGCCCATGAGGTTATGCTCTGCCTGTTCTGTGGCACTGGGATGCCACCAGAGCCTTGGTCTGCATTGGCCTGAGTCACTGCATTCAGTGCATTCAGTGAATGGTATTTGGATATCTTGGTGATAAGGATAAAATTACCATATAATTGCTAACTTTAGTTTAAATTACAGATTTTCTGATTGTCTAGGAAAAAATCTGCCTACATAATTAATTTTAGAAATTAGTAAAGAACCATAAGTGTCCATTTAGCAAAACACATTATAAAGACAGAAAATATAGGGGGGAATTGTGTTTGCAGTAATGTGATGGATTTCTGAATCAGGGTTGTGTTAATTATTTTTTGCAAATAATTATATTGGACTATGCTCTGAACTTTATTATCTTCACCATTAGGTTGGCTGTTTTCAGTTCTTCCATATTATCACAGCTGTATCCATCTTCTACTGTGTCAACTTGACAAAGTGCTTTGAATCACCTGTGGTTTTGTTCTTCCCTGCTTTACTTTTTGTTTACATATTTTCTTCCCCCTTTTTTTTTCCTTCCGTCTATTTTGCAGTGACCTCTCTTGTCCTTCCCCATGGCTTGGTATCACTTTTTTCTTCTCTTTCCACTTTCAGCCCCCACAATGTGTTGGCAGTGGCACTGTAATCAAGATTGTTTTAGCTGACACAAAACCTAATTGAACCTAATCCTTTCTGATCACTGAGGTGTTGCCAGTGACTGAGGCAACAAAACCATATTTGATAATTGCAAGTTCTGCAGGAGTCCCAGGTTAGCACCCATCTGAGCACCTTCCTTTTGTGGAACATTACAAGAAATCACACGTTCTCATCCTACTTCATTATACTAACAATAAGGAGAATAGGAGAGGAGATGTAAATAGTGAATAACCCAATCAGTGATTGTGAGAGCCTTCACTTTCAACCAGAGTCTTCTGAGGTTACACTGTGTATGACAAAGTCCTTTCCAAACAGGGATTCTTACTGGAGATCTTAAGCAGATAAAATGCTTTCCATAAATATTTTCGAGGGGGGGGGGGGGGAATAGAAAAAAGAAAAAAAAATGCTGCTTAAAATTTTCTTTCCTTTAAGACTTTGTCTGATGCTTCCTGTATTCATAAGTCACCTTACACAATCCCGACTTCTTGAAGGTGAAAATCTCTTCAGACCTTCTCTGGTTTATGCTTCAGGACTTCAGCAGTTTTAGGAGCAGATGTGTTCTCTACAGCTATGTATCTGTTTGTGCTACTTGTCCCAGAGAGACGTGATGCATGTAAGTGGAGGAACACAGATATTACTGAGAACACAAGCTTCTGATCACACCCAAACCTGAGACAGCTAAGCCTGCCACCAGAAGATTACAATAATTATTTTAATTTTGCGTTTGAAGTCTTGGTTTTAAGTGCATTGAACTTCTTCCAGACTGATACACAAGGAGCTACATAGCTCATGCCCAGCTGTTCTGGCTAGTTACATATTTGGGATGTTTGACAGACCCTTGAGGTAATGAAGGCTGGAAACATCATTTGATAACTACTGAAAGAATGCTGCCATCTTTCACTCATCATTCAGCATCCTCAGATTGCAGCTTCTCTCCCCTAAGCACAGGCAAACTCTGCTCAGGGCATTGCAAGCATCATTTAACCTCGTCACCCTGCCAGTAAGTGATCCTGCTTGGTCCCTCAGGCCTCTACAGCAATGCGATAAGGACAGTTGCTATGCACAGTGTGCTTTCTGCTGAGGTGTTGGTGGCCGTTAAGCTATATTTGAAGGAAGTATAAATAACCATCATGGGTTTTCTGTCTATGTGTGACAAAAAGATACCACAGCTGAGGTTTTAAAGCTGTGCCTGCCATTATTTTTTCCTATTTTTCCTTTTTTTTATCACCAATTATTTTACATAGTTCTTTTCATTCCTATTATATCCTACATTTAATATTGTATGAATGCTTGCACCTGTGACTTAAAAATGCATGCTTTGTAATCATTTTCTTGGTAAAATTCACTGAAATTCAACTGTTCATAGAGGTTAAATCTAAAAAGAATATGGGCCAAGCTGAAGTGAGTCCTTTATGAATTTTAATAAATATTCACTGATTTTTAAAGTAATTGTTCATCTCTGAGATGTACATACAAACAACTTCAGAGCAGTATTTGGAGGAAGGTGTCATTGAAATGTTCTAGTACTTGATAAATAAGAAAAGAGCTCATTTAGTTTCAGAAGTACTTCATAAATGTATCTTTCTGTCTCTGAAAAATTTAATACAAACCCCAGGATTGTCTTCTTGTACCTTTGGGGTTTCAAGTTAACATGCTTAATCCTAGTTTCCTACCCTGGAATTCAGCTGTTGGTTTACTGGTAAGTGGTAATGCCTTGTTTATTCACATCACTGTGCCAGCTGAGATTTCTGTCAAGCTTTTCCATACTTACATGCAGGAAATTATGCCACTTAGGGTAGGTGATTTTTTTTCTTTCTGATATTTTAAGAATTAGCTAATAAAAAAAATAAAGGCATTGTATTTTTAAGATTTGAGATTTGAATAAAATACAAAACTTTTCATTTTAGTACACTTGAAATGTATTTGTGCATATGAAATCATACATTAAAGGCAGCTATGTAAAATGTCAGTACTTGTTAAAGGTGTAATAGATGATACACTAGGGTCTCTGATTCATTCTTCTATACCTTTGCTATTAAGACCACTTTATAACATGCATACATAAAGCATAGCTGTGTAAGGAAAAAGTGAAGGTGGTTCTTTTATCTCTTTCATTGCAATCCACGAAAGGAAACCTCACTTTAAGATCTTGGCTATTAGGAAAGAAAGGCAGGCACTGTGAAGGCAAGCAGTGCCATCTCCTACATAACAGCAGACTAAAGAACCAGCCATCTCTATCCTGTTTCCTGTTTTGCCTTAACTGCATGAATCACAAGTCAAGTCGTTTTACAGCCTTCTTTTCGCAGGGATTGAGCTACACTTCTGCCGTATATCAGTGGAAGTTTCACATACTCTGCATCTCAGAACTCAGTCCCTCTGCCATCAGTGGTCTCAGTTGCCTCAGTTTTTGGTATTTGTGACTATCAGTTTTGTAGTGCTGGTTTATGTTGTTCCCGCATAGCTGTGGTGTCTCTTAATATGTGTAAGTAAAAATGAAGTAGATATTATTCCACTTTCTAACTGCTAAATTAATCTTAGTAACTACAGAACATTTCACTGAAGGCTTCCCACATCTGTTCCTGCTGAAAACCAAGAATACAGACCTGAAAATGTAGTTGAATGGTTTCCAAAGTTGCTGGGCACTAGAATAAAATAACCTCATTTTGTAAAGAAACTAGTTGCATATCTCTCCTATTGAGATCTATGGGAGCTACGGATCACTGGCATGTACTTTCATTTAGACATATAACTTCACACGCTTAAAGCTGGAAAATTGGTCACATATGCATCGGCAAGTTCAGGTTTTCCCATTTGGAAGATTATGCCATTTACACTCCTCTGTGCAATATGTAAAGCTGTAAGGAGTAATTTTGTAAGCTATTCTGTTGTGAGTGACTAGTACACACTTCAAAGAACCTTTTAGTTCTTTCTTGGTAAAGTAACTCCATGTCAGAAAGTAAAAAAATAATGTATTCAATATGGTCTGTTCAATTTTCAGGTAGAGCAAACAGACATTAAAAGTACATGCCAGAAGGAATACTGTCAGATGTAGATCCTGAAAGCCTATAGGGCAAGGCATATGGTTTTTCAGAACTGAAACATGTTTACTTCTGTTAGTTATTACTGTTCTAATATTAGTCTGTGTCTTCTGTTAAATCATGTATAGAGCTATTTTATGGGACCATTGTTCCACGGGCTGCCTTAAGTTAGGGACCAGCTTAGAGAAAAAATTGATACCAGGCAATTTTATGAGAGTATGAATCAAATTTACCTTTGGGATCTAACAGAATTGAATTATTTCCAGAAATGAATTAGCTTCAGCTCTTTCCTCAGAATTCAGTTCACATCAGTGGTGTGGGTTTTTTTCTTTAATTTGCCAAGAGTAAGAAGAATCAATGCAGGTTTGGCGACATCTGCATATGCTTTAATTTCTGAAAGCCAAAACTAAACCATAAATCATAAATATGCTCTATTTTTGCACATAGTGAGAACTCTAGTTACTCTGCCTAAATACAAGGCCATAAATATAGAGAAACAGGTTGTATGATAACATGCATATATAGTTTTAAATTACTTTAGAAAGGTAACATACAAGTTAGACATCATCAACAGAAAATCTTGTCTCAATCCCTGTTTCTGTCCCTCCTTCTTCCTCTTCGCTGTCCCCATGCTTGCTAGTAAATATAAATTAGAAAGGATGTATAAAATAAATAACTTCAGAATTCCCTGTTGAATATATAGTTGTACTAATCAATGGTATGTAATCTCATTCAAGTTAATTATTCTATGTGGTGTGAATTCCTTCCAACCACATTCTGATGACAGTAGGTACTTTAATTTTCAGTAGCACTTCATGGTTTCTGCTTGCCATGGTAGATGTACCATTTCGTCAATATTGAATCAAGAAACAATTAAACTTCATGAAAACATTTAGGACTCCATCCTCGGCTGGTAAAAATCAGCTCTAGTGAATACAGTCAATCCATGCTGATGCAAACCAGCTGCATATTCAACTGTGAAAGTCCAAAGATGAGATAAGTTAACCAAATGTCCATCGTGTCATGCTGCAATTGATACGTTTGTTTATAATGAGGACTAGCACAGAAGTAGTTAATGTGTATTTCATGTACTCCTACTAGTATTATCTGATGAAAATACTAGTAAATAACAGTATGGTTTAGATAGTGGTTGTAGATAGCAGAGTGTAAAGCCACAAAAGGAGGTATTACTGTGCATACACACACAATAACATACTTACACCATTTTATTTATTTATTTCAGGTAGCTAATCAGGTTGTTCAGGCTCTACTTACTCAAAAGGTAAGTTGTGGTTTGAGTATTGTGGCATAACTTAAAGCTCGCAGATGTTCATTTTTCATTTGAGGGATATATTCTTGTATAGCATACGTTTTTTTAAACTATGTTCACACATTTAATTACCAAGGCTGCCACATGTCAGACACAAAGTAAAGTTTTTTGTAATCCAAGTGAATAAAAATCTGTAAGACTGTATATCTTACAATCTTAGCTATTGTTTATCTATATTGACACAATAGCATCTGAAAATTCTTCCTCCCGGTGGTGATTTTTCCATTCCTTACCCATAATGAGTTACATCACTCCCACAGTCCATTCCTGTGGAATGTCCAACAAACAAATTACAGTGCATGTCAATAGCTGGCATGCTCGCTTACATTCAGTGGAAGGAAAGACTTCCCAGTGTGGGCCTGTGCTTCTGTGAGTGAAAGAGAAGGCTCTGTGTGTAGAATGGGGATTCAGCTACTCTACTTGTGGGCCAGTGACCAGCAATGGAGAACGTGCATTTAGTCTTAGAAAACCTTTTGATGTCCTCCTGCTCCATTCTCCTGGCAAAGCAAAGGAAGTATGACACAGGCAAAACTCTTGTAGGGTGATTGCAAGCCTGGCAGAATGAAAAGATGCTACTATGCCTTCTCTAAAGGTCTGTTCTGGATTAAGTCATGTCTGAAGTTTCCATTCACACTCCACATGGTTGGATATGAAGTATGGTTGTTTCACCTAAAACCTAGTTGGAGGAGTAAAATTAAAAATTAACTTCCTAAAATTAAGAAGTGATTGGGGGGGGGGGGGGTAAGTAAGATGAAGTTAAACAGGGAGCATAGCAAGTAAAATAATCAGCTGCCTACAGAGGGGAGAGGAGTGACTGGTAGGACAATTCTACAAAAAAGTGGTCTTTGAGTTGAACATGATTCCGTGATTTCATTTGGGAGGAGGAGGTGGGGGAGACAAACAAAATCTCATAAAGATATGTAATAATAAGCTATGAACCTTGAGATATTCATGAAATATCCTTTGTGAGATCTAGACCACTTGATGAATATGGCATTCTTAATAATGCTTTGGATCATTTAGCTTTAAAAAGACAAGTCTGAAAGAGACATAAATACGATCTTTTAGTGCGGATAGTGCAAAGAAGAGTATAAATTGTTTTGTCTGCACTGAATGACAGGACAAGAAATAATGTTTTTAAAATGCAGCAAGAAACACCAAGTCAAGATAATAAAAGGCATCTTCTATATGCCCAAAAGCCTTCTAGATTCAAATAGTTTTTGAGGATGGGCTCGAAAGCCTCCATTGTGGACACCATTTAGAACAGAGGAGCATCATTCAGAATGCCCCCCATAAAAGGGACGATCATGGTCTGAGGGTGACAGCAGGGCAGGCAGGAAGCTGAGCACCAACTGTCAGGGTCAGGCCTGGAGGCAGTGATCAGTGTCAGCCTCGGTCCTATGTTTGCTGGTGAAATCCATAGGGAGGAGGCAGGTCTGCTGAGCAAAGCCAAACCCAGGGGTCAGGATGCAGCTCAGGATCAAGCAGACAGGAGGCTGGGTGCAGGTGTAGCTGCAAGGTGGCTGCTGAATGGCTCAGACCTGAACAAGACTACCTTGAACTCTGCCAACTAAACTCATTCATTCCAGGGAGTGTGCGCTGACAGCAGAATAGACAAACATCTGCATCCATAACCATCTGCATCTAACTGAATGGTAAATAGGTGCAGAAGGTTGCATTGGGCCATCTACAAATCAGGGAGTAGGCCCTTCTAAAGCCCTTACTGGGCAGATTTTTTGTGAATCAATTTTCTGACGTTCTAGATGGATTAAAAGATGCTCAGGGAGATGTTCTGGCCGTGTTAGGTCTGCTCTTAGGTATCCTGCCCTGAAGACAGAGATGTCTAAGTTACCTGTAGGTGAGTGATGCAAGACTGTGGAGGGTATAGTTGCCCATTATATAGATAATAAATTCCTATGGCCCAAGCTAGCATTAGGAATCCAGAAGTAATAATGTTCTCTAAATCTCTTCACCTGACAGCTGTGGCCACAAAATAGCCACACAGCTGTTACCACAGGTTAGGGTTGAAAGTATCATTTTTTAATCCCGCGTTTTTTTTTGCTGCACAACAAAGCCTTTTAGTCTAGAGAAGGGATACTGCCATACAGGAATTGGAAGTATTGTAGCTTGGAGGTGATTTGTGCAAACCACAACACATGGGGAAGCTTTCACTGTTGCTGTCTGTGCTGTATTACTCTTCTGTACTGTGTATACACACATGCTGTATGGTCTGTGTATCATCAGAGGACTGCAGTCTGCAAAGCTATTGCTGTAACACCTTCTAGAAATGTAACTTCAGCTATTTTTTGAAAACTCTTAGATCTGTGTTTCAGTTTAGCTTAAATGGAAGTGTTTTCTCACGTTAATATACACAAAAACCTCATCCTCATTTTGTAATATAAAACCATACGTGATTAAATGCTTAGCGGAGGGTTAATCTCAATATATTAATCTCTAGTTTGGGAATATTATGGTTGTTTTGCAAATGAAGAGAGGAGCTTCCTGAGTCCCTTCACAAAGGCATCAGACATTCTGATGACTACATAGTTTCTCAGTAATGAATCCTCCCAAACCCATAGGAACCAAGGAGTTCATACGGATACAATAAAAACAGATTTGAATACATTTAATAAAGTGATTTACTTAGTATTGATGGGATTTAGCAGCTGCTTACCCATTACTGAGTAATAACAGCTAATTTAATATCCATAGAAAGAGGAAAGAGGGTACTTTTCTAAATGCTAATGAATATTAACTGTTAGCGTGCTCCTGACACCATTCATACAAGTCCTTTTATAAGAAAAGACAGAAACACAATAGCATACAATAAAAAGGAAATTGGACTTCTCACACCAGTCCCAAATAGCTAGATACTGGAATCCAAGTAGTAAGTAGTAAACAGATAAATCTACCATTGCACAGCTGAGCAGTAAGACAGAGCCAGTCATGCCACAGTGAGATAACACATCTCTGGGGCATAGTGAGACATGAAGAAAAGCCAAGAGCTTTCAGAAAATGGAGAAGAGTGGTTTTGTACAGTAACGGGTACTGCGTAGGCTTTGCTGTGAATTTGAAATTGCCCCTCAAGGACTAATTTTTGTTTAAATTAAGTAAATGCTGTAATGTAACGAATAAAGCACTGTGTACCCACCGGTATGTGGAAAGACTGTGATTCCACTGAGAGATTCTGGTGACACAAATTGAGTGAGCAAAGCTTGAGTGATTTATCAATGTCACTGAAACCTTGAAATGGAATTACATTCTTAAATGTGCGCTCTTCAACTATATAATTTGTTACAATATGTATAAAATTTCTCTAATATGAGAGGCTTTTATTTTGCCCTTTTTTTTCTTTTTTTTTTTTTTACTGTGGCTATGGAAAAAACTATATTTAATTGAGATTTGTGCTGAATTGGCCATAGAGCAAAATTGCACAATTCTACATAGAAAAATTATATAGATTTTCTGCCACTTACTAATAGAAAATTTTATCTCTAGGAAGTTTAATAAGTCAGAAACCCAATAAAATTATTTCAGGGAAACCTGTGTGCTCTGATACTTACTGGAAGTATCCATTCTTTCTCCTTCCACCCAAAGACTTCTTACATCTTGAGATGTTGAGAGTCCTGGAAACGAATTTTTAATTTCCTCTCTCCCCCCATGTAAGACCTGGATCAGCAGTTTGAAATTTGAGTTATTCCGCTTAATGAATTCGTTTTGTGATCTGTGTATCTGTTCTTTGCATATTACCCTCCTCCACAGGAGTATATTCCAGAGAATACTTTTTTACTCTGGTTTCTGTATGAAAGTTATTTCTTCTTCATTAATGAAATAAAAAAGACATTAATTAAGTCTTAGACGAAGCAACTTCAGAGGAAGAGCAATGTGTTTCTGGAACCTCTAATGACGGCATTGAATCACGATTTGGAGAAAAGTGAGTCTCATACTCAAGAGAAAAAAGGAAGGACAGAGAGATGCTTGGGTATTACTGTAGTGAGACCATAGGAATACCTTAGATATTTGGGAGATTACTATCTTAAATAGCTGGTTGTTTTGCCCACAGGGCAGGAATTCTATGCTTCAGGCATTTGGTAGTTGCATTACTTGGTAATTTTAGGACTTTGGAATTCTAAACTCAGAGTTTATTTTACCAGAATGCTGCTACCTTTATGTGCCTTATTTCTCCTCTGGGCTATATGTGGCATTACCATTGGCACAGTTTATAGCATCTGGGTGGGTAATCTACTATCTTATCTTTCACTTTTTACATAAAGTCTAAAGTTTGAAACATAGATCTCACAGTTCTAAAACTGCAAGGTGGGAAAGTTTGGAGCAGAGGCATTGCTAAGATTTATTTTTTATATACATTTTTAGTTTCTGTTAATAATTTTTCCTTCTCAGTGCACTTGGTAGTGTTTAAATGTTAAACATGTTTGTAACAGCTAAGGCTCTGTTTTAAATTCCCTGATTATTTGTGAAAGGGAGATAATGCTGGGTCTTGATGCTTGCATTTTCCTAATAGAGATTACCTTGTACAAGGCCAGAGATATGAGGTCTCAATGACAGAAATCAAAGCTTTAGGGCTTCACAAAACATTAAACCCAAGTTTTTGGGGGGGTCATGTTGGAAGGCTCTAGCAATTTTATTTAAATAGCCATTTGGCTGCTACCTATAACAAATATTAAGAAGCTATCAAGAGAACATAAATGCATTCATCCAGTAGCATCATAAAATCTGATACATACTATATACATAAAAAGATGTTTATAATTTTCTGAAAGTCTCAAGCTTATTTTGTTGTGTGTTCACATCTTACAACCTCAGTGCTGGTTAGAGTGGAGACCAGAGCAACTGTAGGCAAGAATTTAAGCTACATCTGACTATAATTTCCTCCTATGAGTTGTTTTCTCATAAAGCCAGGTCTTAATGTTGATAGTGGTATTGACAGAACATCATGTGGGGATCTAGAGGCTTGTTTCTCCACCTTCATGTGGTGGAAAGCATTACCAACTGGGCAATACCAAAAGGCAGCAACTGTCCTAAATTTAAATGAATATGGGGAAGTATTTGAAGATTTTTTTTATTTTTTTTATTTTTATTTTTTTAAATAAAGCTGGGTATGGCCACACCTTTTTTTACTTTTGTTTGTAAACTCTCCAGGGAGATTGCTTTTTCTGATTTATGAAGCTCTCACGCCTAAAATGGAAAATTGCACAAATTGGCTAAAATCCTCTCTCCAAAATCATCTTTCTGATAGATGTGTGTATTCCTTCAACTGGCCAGGAAAAGCAGGTCTTGCATTGAAGGCAGGTAGGTAGGTAGGTAGGTAGGTAAGTAGGTAGATAGATGGATAGATAGATAGATAGATAGATAGATAGATAGATAGATAGATAGATAATTTGCTGTACCCAGAAACCATTAGTGGCTTGTTCATGATGATGTTAAAAGACCTGCATCTTTCAGTTTTGACAGTAATGTCTGCACCTTAAGATTCAGAGACTCTCTAATGGCCTATTTTAAGGTTTTTTTGGTACCTCATGTTGGAAATCTCGGACAGGATCATATTGCCACATGCATCTGGTGTGTAAACGTTTTACTATGGCCTATAGTGTAGTTCTGCTGTGGCAAGTTAAAGTGGGGAAGAAACAGACCATACACAACATGCCGTCCAGCAATGCTGACTTGGTTATTCCAGGGGATCGGACTTCTGAGGAATACCTTGAAGGCACAGTATCACTTTGAACTTCTTCCTGGTTTGGTATAGTTTACACTTTTTTCCTTAGCTTGCGCTTTCTTACAATATTCATACTTTAATTGCTGCTTTCTGCTTTGTGTTGGCTGCAAAATGAAACATATTGCTAGCAAAGTCACTTTTTATACTAACAGAAAACTCCAAATGGATGTGTCAGGTAGCTACTCTTTCACATTACAAGATTTTTTTAATCTTGTCCCATGATGATCAAACAACCATAGAAAATGAAGTAGGGCATTTTTCTGATTCATACTGTTTTAAAAGTTGTATGTGTATTTCTGCTTAGCATCTGACATTAGAGCTTTGTAAGTGCTTCGGTTACCTGCTTTCTAAAATCCTATTTTCCCTTCTGCCACAGGATTTGAGGGAGGAATGTATAAAGCTGAAAATGAGAGTTTTTGATTTGGAACAACAGAATCAAACATTAAGTGTGCTTTTCCATCAGAAAGTCAAACCAGCTTCTGACCTCCTTCTTCAGGTAGGAGATGGCAATTTGCAGAAAGCAAACTATGAGCTTTGTGTTTCTTACAATTATATTTTTTTCATTTTAAGGTTATGGCAGTAAGCAGGAAATGACAGTTGATATATTTAATATTTTGGAAGAATATCTGTTATCTATAATCTGATACCACTGAAACTGCGAGTGTACACCAGTAAGATATGACTACATATTAGATGCAAATGTGGAGAGGAGCACACCTGCAAAGTAACTTACTTTTTAGGTGTTTTTTCACTATGATAAATGGAATTATATGGGTTCATTATCCCTTTGTAGGGGAGAAGCTCTGATTCTTTTAACATCCAGCTTGATGGTGAGCAGTGTAATTTCCTGTGAGAAGACAGCCCATTTATTTAACTTTTGCCATATGTATTACTTTCCTGGTTTCAGCTTACTTACAAGGACTTAAGTACATCTTCACAGACCCAGAGTGATTTTTTTTTCCAAATGTTTTATGGAAGGATATAGCTGAGAAACCAATTGACCCATCTCCCACTCCTTTGCCATTCTGGAATAAGAGATGTTTCAGTATCTCTTTTCATTTGGCAAAGTCCGTTATTGTGAATGCATCCATCGCTTTGTCATCCTTTTGTAGAAGTAGAATTGCTTTGCAGAAGTTCCAACAAACCTGACCATGAACTAGAACAATAAATGAGGATTTTTTTTTAAAGACTCTGCAAGTTTCTAACAATATGACAAATTCTGGGTTTAGCAATCTCTGTTATTTCTTACTAAAAAACAAACAAACAAACAAACAAAAAACAAAAAAAACCCAACCAAAAAACCCCAAACATTCATTTTGGAGGAGTCAGATAGGTAGGTGATGTTAAATAAGTATGTATATCTTACCTAAATTCTCTGATGCTGTGCATGTGTATCTCAACGTAAAATTTGACCCTTGCACTGTTGCTAAATAGCTGAGGGCTGTTAACTCTCATCAGCTCATGCTGTTTACTGAGGAAGCATGGTCTCCTCACCGACTGGTGCTTAAAGTCAAGGGAATCCCGGGGGTGGCAAACAGCTATACTTACATACTGCAGAACTGAAGCTTGGGCAGAGTGAGGCCAGGTTACCATCACAGGGATCTGGGTTCTTGTGTTATCCTGAGGTTCTTGTTCTGTCTGTTTATTTTGTGTTGATACAGGTATTGCTAGATCAGGACTTTCTCTCTTCTAATTGCTTCTGCCTTGCCCTAGCTGTTAAAACACTTCATATGTAATCAAAAAAACAAAAACAAAAAAAAAAACAAACCCAAACTAAACAGACAAAAACCCAAACCAACAAAAAACAGATGAATAAAAAACCTTGGTAAATTTGTGAGTTTCCAGAACCTTGTTTATCCTCTGACTGTACTCCAGACTTGAATAAATAGTATATAGTCTGTGATCCTGCAGTCTGAGGTGTAAAATCTGGAGAAGGGTGTTTCCTTAGGGCTGAAATTAAGCAAATACTGTTGTGTGCCTGCATAGATTTGAAGCATTGTATGTATTATGTCTTTTTGGAAATGCATACATACCAGATTTAGAGCAATAGCTAAACCCTTTTTTTTTAATCTGTTGCTCTACAGAAGAGTACTAAATATATGGTTAAGGACATTCCTGTTAAAGCATGACCCTAATCAAAGTGAATGGGCAAATATTGCTAACTGGGAGGAGGGACAGGCATGACACATGGTGTTAATTTCACCTTTCTAGTACTGTCTGATACAGTACAGTTCAATTTTATTTAATGCTGATCTCATCCTGGGAGTATTCACTCTCAGTAGAACTACAGGTTTTGAAGAATGCTGTAGAAGAGGGTGAAAGCTTAAAAAAAAAATAATACCCGTTGCTTTTTCTGAATATCCACTCCGTGATTTGGTTGTCTGTTACCATCGAATTATTCTGTAATTGACATTAGAAGACTTGTATTTTTTTTGTGTATTTGATTTTGAGCAAATACAACATGATTCATTTGTCTTCTTAGGAATCAAATTATTCGTATTTTTTTCAATGAAAAGATTGATACCAGTGTTTTGAATTTGACTGCAGGGTAATGGCCTGTGCACAAGACTAATATCACCGTATTGTTTTAACTCATGCTTCTCACACAATTCAAAAGAAAAACTTATTACTACCAATTTAAAAACAAAAACAATAACAAAGAAAACACATGTAGTAAGGTGTTCATGACTGCTGCTGTGAAAATGTTATTAAAAGTATTACATTTTCATGCATTTACAAGAAGTTTAAGTACTTAGGGAATTGAAGGGTCTAATAATGTTTTAAATGAAATATGTGTGTTTTCTTGAGACATGTGATTATGTATATTGCTGTGGTTAGACATAAGGAAGAAGTTCTTCACTGTGAAGGTAGTGAGGCACTGGAACTGCTTCCCCAAAGTGATAAACGCTCCATCCCTGGCAGTGTTCAAGGCCAGGTTGGACGGAGCCTTGGGTGACATGGCTTAGTGTGAGGTGTCCCTGCCCATGGTAGGGGGGTTGAAACTAGATGATCTTAAGGTCCTTTCCAACCCAAACCATTCTGTGATTCTATGTAAGTTCTTTACTACTAGAAATTTTGGTGTGCTTACTGCTTGTAGGGAGTGAAACAGAGGATATGTCACTTCTGTCATGAAAAGATTAAGTAATGCAGTCTCTGCAAAATGTAAGGTGGAGAAAGAGATAACTTGGGCTTTATTTTGTCACCTCTTTGATGTTGTAGACAATTGTAAGAGCTACCCTATCTTTCTGGGCACATTCTTTCTAGCTGAAGTGTGTGATTTACAGAGCCAGTATTAGGATAGATAAATAAGGAGGAGCCAGATCACCTCTTTTTCTTAAAAAAAAAAAAAAATAGTAATTATTCAGGCAGTCTTCTCTCTGAAGCAGCTTTCTTAAAATGTTGAAGCCAAGGAAAAGTGTTTCTGTCTCAGCACCATCTGAGGAAGAGCAATAGTCTTACTTAAAAGCTAGCACAGAAGAGTAGATTCTGTCCAAGCAGCCTTCATTTTTGAATGTGGTTGCTAAAAATTGATGAAATTCTGCCTGTCATAGAAAGAGGGGTTTGGGAAAGAAAACTGGGAGCTCCATTTGAGTGAGCCACCTTGTATTTCATCTGCAAGTGGGAGAGATAGTTGGGAATAATAGACTAAGATTTAAATTTGAGTACAGTAAAACTGATTGGAAGTGAAGAGAGAAATCTGTGGAGGTGATGTACAGACGGTTGCTGAAGGGATAAGAAAATCCAAAGAGAAGATACAAGAGTAGGAGTAAGAAGTCTTAAATGAAACTTAGCACTTCTGCTTTGCCAGTGTACAGCAGCTATGAATTATTTTTAAATGCAAATGTCAATATATTTCTGTTTTTGCCTCATTTTTCCTAAATGATGTACTGTTTTCTTCAGAGAAACTTTACTGAAATCACCAAATTACAGTGCTCTTCCATTTCTTAGTTCTGGCATTTTGCAGACTTGTTTTGCTGCTGGGTATGGACTGCTCAGTCTTGAGACAGATCTTTTCATAGATCTTTCTCCTTGTTAGCCTCCTTTTTACTCATATTTGAAAATATAACTAATAACATCGAACCTGTTTCTGATGTTACATATCCTCCTATTACAACAATGATGACTTGTAGAAAGTTACTAATGATAACAGGGGTCAGGGTTTGTCTTCTCATAGATATCACCATAATTTGTTTCTATTTTGTATCTCTGTTTGTTAGCTGAATTGTTCCCAAGGATGATGTCTTGCTTTAACTTTTCACCCAGAAAGCTGTTGTTGCAGACTTTTTATAAAGCATGTGAGGAACCATTAGTGAAAGGTTTTAAAAAGTGGCAAGTAAAAAAGACCTTAGGCCCCCTGTAGGAGAGGATCTGGTTGAGGACCGTCTTAAGAAAATGAACATGTACAAGTCCATGGGACCTGATGAAATCCATCTGTGGGTCCTGAAGGAGCTGGCAAATGAAGTTGCTAAGCCACTGGCCATCATATTTGAAAAATCATGGCAGTCAGGTGAGGTTCCTGACAAACTGGAAAAAAGGGAAATATAACCCCCATTTTCAAGAAGGGGAAAATGGATGACCCAGGAAATTACAGAGCAGTCAGTCTCACCTCTGTGCCTGGCAAAATCTTGGAGCAGGTTCTCCTGGAAGGCATGCTAAGGTACATGAAAAACAACAAGGTGCTTGGTGACAGCCAGCATGGCTTCACTAAGGGGAAATCCTGCCTGACCAACTTGGTGGTCTTCTATGATGGGGCTACAGAACTGACGGACAGGGGTAGAGCAGTTGATGTCATCTGCCTGGACTTGTGCAAAGCGTTCAGCACTGTCCCACATGACATCCTTGTCTCTAAATTGGAGCGACATCAATTTGATGGATGGACCACTCAGTGGATAAAGAACTGGCTGGATGGCTGCACACAAAGAGTTGTGGTCAATGGCTCAGTGTCCTGCTGGAGACCAGTAATGAGTGGTGTCCCTCAGGGATCAGTTTTGGGAGCGGTCTTGTTTAACATCTCTGTCACTGACATGGACAATGGGATTGAGTGCACCTTCAGCAAGTTTGCTGATGACACCAAGCTATGTGGTTCGGTTGATACCGTGGAGGGAAGGAATGCCATCCAGAGGGACCTTGACACGCTTGTGAGGTGGGCTGATGGAGTTTAACCATGCCAAGTGCAAGGTCCTACACCTGGGTCGGAGCAATCCCAGGCGCGGCTACAGGTTGGGTAGAGAAGAGATTCAGAGCAGCCCTGTGGAGAAAGGCTTGGGGGTGTCGGTTGATGAGAAAATGAACATGAGCCAGCTTCAGTGTGCACTCGCAGCCCAGAAAGCCAACCATATCCTGGGCTGCATCAAAAGGAGTGTGACCAGCAGGTCGAAGGAGGTGATCCTGCCCCTCTACTCTGCTCTCGTGGGACCTCACCTGGAGTATTGTGTGCACTTCTGGTGTCCTCAACATAAAAATGACATGGAACTGTTGGAACAAGTCCAGAGGAGG